TTACTGATTGTTTCCACAGTATTCATTTCCCCATTTTTCCAACAACAGTACCCAGATTTTGCACAAAGCAAGCCATTCATGGCCAAATGGTTTGGGTAAGATAAAGTCTGCCTCTGGTTTTAGGAGTAGGCTCTGATTGACTAACGGCAATACTCCTTCCTGGTCATGGTAATTCATTCAAGGATGGGCACATGACCCAACTCAGACCAATTATACTTAATTTTTGGACATCTATTTGAATGAATAAAACTATTTATCTCTATCTCTACATCCCCCATCTTCCCTCGCCCCCTCAATTGGATATAAATCCACAAACACATAGCCTCAGGAACCACTGGCAAACATCCTGCACCACAATGGGAGAATTTGATGAGAATGAAGCCAGTCTTAAGAAAAACTGAAAGAAAAACCAGGTCCGGGTCCCATTATCTGAGTTGCTGGATCAAGCTATGCACGAAGCCATGTACTTGTGGACTTTTCAGTAATGTGCACAAATAAAGGCAGTTTGAGTAGGATTCTCTGTTAACCTGTTACTCTGACACCAAACCCAACTGGCAATACAGTTATGATGCTAACCACCTAGAATTAGTATCAGACTCCATAAGTTTAAGGGAAGAGTCCTTAGCAAGACTGCTCTTACTTTAGGCACCAGCCACACTTTGGGGTTCCTCAGGCCACCCAAACTTCTGATCAACTGGAGGAAATCTGGGGATTCCCATGACCCCCTCAGGTTCAATAATTCACAAGAATGACTGACAGAACTAAAGAAGTGCTACACTTACCATTACAGTTTTATTTAAAGGATACAAATCTGAGCCAGCCAAATGAAGAGACACCAAGGGTGAGGTCTGGGAAGATCTTCAACACAGATTCCATGCCTTCTCCCCATGGAGTCAGGACGTTTCACCTTCCCAACACACCTGTGTTCACCAACCAGGGACTCCTCTGAGTCTCAATGACTGGAGACTTTATTGGGATTTCATTACATAGGCATGATTAATTAGATCATCAGCCACGTGACTGAACTCAAGCTCCAGTTATGTTAGAGATGTTTCCTCTAGCTCTCCCAACTGTTGTGAGTTCTCTCGTTACTTGATTATTTGGGCATGGAGCTCAAGGGAGAGGTAGGGGTTGGACATACAGATTTTGGAATGAAAAGGACAAATGTGGGTATGGATGAAATTGTTTAGGGAGAGTGAAAAACAGAAGCCAAGGAGAGAACTCTGAGGTATCAAAAATTTTAAGGAAATAAGAGAAGATCCAGTAAGGAACACTGAGAAGGAATGTCCTCTATTTTCCAGTTATTTTTATGCTCCTAGCACATGGTACATGGCTTCACCTCTCATGCCTGGAAAGCCTTCCCTTCCCTGGATTCATACCTATCTCTCATAGTACTTGATATAAATCTTTATTAGCAGTATTTCAGTGCATTTACATTTTATGTCTGCTTCTTCCATCAATCTGAAAGCTCCCTCTGCCAAAAACTATTCAGCTTTTTATCTACAACTCTCAACATAACGCTTAGTAGGTCTCAATAAATGATATATGGAGCAGGGAGAAGTTAATGCACAAATAGAATGTGTAATATATAAGCATTAGAAAGTGTGAATATGCCTTTTATGCCTTTCTAAAAGAAATATACATGTTGGAAAGAATTCACCAGTGAAGCCATCTGGAGTTATCTTTTTAGAAAGGTTTTAAATTATAAATTTAATTCCTTTAAAATATATAGAACTTTCTATTTATTATGTTTCAGTCTTAGTTTTCTTTTTATGACAAAATTTTCCATTTCATCTGAATTATCAAGTTTATTGGTATAAAACTGTTTATAATATCCTCATATTTTTAATGTCTACAGGACCTGTAGTGATGTCCCCCTTTTTACTACTGATATTGGTAATGTGTTTTCTTACATTTTTTCATTAGTCTTTCCAGGAGTTAATTTTTTAAGTCTTTTCAAAGATTAATAAGTCTTGGCTTTGCCAAGTTTGTTGTATATCTGCTTTCTATTTCATTGATTTCTGGTTTTATCTTTAATTTTACTTTGCATAAATTTCCTGATCCTTTCTCTAAATTTCCCTCTGAGCTCTGATCCTATGGGTAGTTCTCTAGTCAGGGTGGCCCAAGGAGTCCCAAGTCTCAGAGAAATGAGCCTGTATTATTACCGCACCATGCTCAGTCATCAGCGAGGAACAGATTATGGGAAGTGTGGCCTCAGTTGTGAACACGGTGGTAGATCCAGGTCAGCAGCTGGGGTCATCAATTAACTATGTTCTGCACAGCAGGAAATCCAGTGGCCCATTTTCCGAACCACCACAGTTCATTCCTTTGCCCCACAGACCTACTTCTTGATGCAGGGTTGGAGATGCTCTTCCATGGTTCCCATGGGCCTTTCTTCCTGAAGGGAAACTTAGAAGAGGAAGTTAGTGAAATGAACACAGCAATTGGTTTGGAGGCCCCAACATGGGCATTCTCTCCTTTTCCCTGTATCCAATCTAAATTCCCCTCATCCTCAGTTATCATTTTAGCAGGTCTTGTTGGCTTAAGTGGTGGTATGATCCAAACCTTAATTCCTAAGGGGTCTGAGCTCCTGATAACCATACCTTTCTCAGGCCAGAGTTGCTACATGTATTCACAGTTACAATGGGGCAAGAGAGTATCAGGAGATGCTCCTGGAATGAGTCCAAAGTACCCAGCAGCAGTCACAGCTTGTAGTACAATAGGACCCTTGCTGTGTCCCTTAACAGGAGTGCAACCTCTTTGGGGACCAGTACGTCCAGCCCTATAGAGCCCAGATTTGTGGGTATGGAAAGCACAAAATCCTCTAGTGGGTCATTGGCAGCAAAGGTAAGTGGTGCTATTCCTGCCTCCATTCCTTGGTAAGTGGACCCATGTATTTTTCCTGTTGGGGTCATAAAGGCCTCTGATTTAATGTGTACAACTCATCCTGAATGTTAGCATCCAACTTCTGAGTGTTGCTTCTGACTGGCACTTCACCCGTGCCTTTAGAAAGTCATTTCTAGCTCTCTTTGGGGTCAGCTCTTTTGGATGGTGTGGTATGACCAGTGGATTGCATGGTCACGTGTCCACTCCTACACCTCTTTTACCATGAAGCAGGTCCTCTGGTCGAATGCTATGTTACACAGGATCCTTATGCCTGTGGATCAGGCATTCCATAAACCCCTATACAGTAACTCCAGCTGAGGATCTGTGCGTGGAAAGGAAAACCCACACCCAGAATAGCTATCTATCACTGTGAGAATGAACCACTGGCCCCTCCAGGAAAAAAAGGACCCAATGTAGTCAAATTGTCACCAAGTAGACAGTTGTTCTCTTTGAGTAATAGTGCCACATTGGGGGATCCGCACTGATTTCTTGCTGACAGGTTGGACATTTAGGCATCAGTAGCCAGATCAGCCTTGGAAAGCTGAAGTCCATGCTTTGGGGCCCATACATAGCCTGCATCTCTGCCATTGTGGCCACTTTATTTATATGCCTGTATGAGTTTCTTAGGACTGCCTTAATAAAGAACCACAGATCTGGTGATTTAAATAACAGATATTGTCTCACAGTTCAGGAAGCCACAAGTTTGAGATCAAGGTGTCAGCAGGTTTAGTTCCTTCTGAGGGTTGTGAAGGAAAATCTGTTCCATGCTTCTTCTCTAGCTTCTGGTGGTTTGCTGGCAATTTTGGCATGCTGTGGCTTCTGCTACATCAACTTGATCTGTTTTTATCTTCACATGGCATTATCTCTGTGTATCTCTTTCTTCACTTGGTGTCTGCTTATAACGACACTAGTCATATTGACATAGGGGCCCACTCTACTCGTGATGTCATCCTAATTACATTTGCAACAATCCTATTTCTAAATAAGGTCACAATTGGAGGTATTAGGGGTTAGGATTGCAACAAACAAACTTTGTGGGGGATATAATACAACCCATACAGTGCTCATTGTGCTAGTCCAAGGTGGCTGATGATTAAAGCTGTTAATGACAAATGGATGAGTCATTCTGTCTACTTGTTTAGTGCCTCTTCCCTGGTGGATATGAGAGGCAATACAAAAATCTTCATACTTCATGCCCACTCCTTATATTCATCCACATGATTCTACCCCAGACTTTCTTGTCTTTGATCTTCTAGTCTTTTTCCTTCTAGGTCCTCTACCAAAGGCCAGGCCATTGACACATGCACAAGAATCTATATATATTCTTACTTCAGTCTGCTTCTCCTTATATACAAAGCAAATGAACAGAAACAATGCTTCCAACTTCGACCATTGGGAAGATTTTGTTTTTAAAGCCTCTCAAGAATATGACCAATGTAGCCGCCATCTAATTTTGGCCTGCACCCATATACTGAGCTGACATATCCATAAACCAAACTCAGGTTTTACCCCTCCTCCTTCAGCTGGTTATATTAGTCTGGTTGTGGCAGGTGACATGGGCATCTGGGCTACCCGGTCATACGGCTTACCAGTGCCACAATACACTTGAGCTCCATCCATGATGTAACATTTCCATTTTACAATAGATGCTGCTGGTTCTATCTGGATCAATAGAACCCAGTCCATAACAGGCAGTTCTAGACACATGGTTACTTGGTACCTTATGGTTAAGTGTTCTATTTCCACCAAGGCCCAGTATCACTCTAGTAGTCGATTCTTAAAATGTATATAATTCTTTGTTGCAGATGGCCTGGCCTTGCTCCAGAGTCCCAGGGACTGCACTGTGATTTTTCTACTGGGGTTTGCCATAAGCTCTGTACAGAAATCAACTTCTCATAGTTCTAGAAGCTAGAAGTCCAAGATCAAGGTATCATCAAGTTTGGTTTCTTCTGAGGCCTCTTTCCTTCACTTGTACGTAGCCACCTTCTTGCTGTGTCTTCACATGGACCTTCCTCTGTGCACACATGCCCCTGGTGTCTCTTTTTGTCTAAATTTCTTAAAGACACCAGTCAGACTGGATTAGGGTTTGCTCTAGTAGCTTCATTTTTAACTTAATCGCCTCTTTAAAGGACTTATCTCCAAATACAGTCACATTCTGAGATGTTGGGGGTTTAAGACTTCAACATATAAATTTTGGGGAAGGCACAACTCAGCAGAACAAAATGCAAAAGATTCATTAGGGGAAATATCTGTGAAAGATAAAAGGGAAGGAAGCAGGAGAAGGTGGGAGAGTCTGCAAACTGTGACACAGGTCTGATGCCTATAAAGGAGGGGAAAAGAAAGGATTGAGTAGACAGCATCTCAGACGATAGCACAGTTCTAAGAACCTTTTGGCTAAGCTTATGAGTAGTCCTCAAGCCAAAGCTGCCCATCAGAGGAGTTCCAAATATTGTAGCAATGAAGCTGCATTAGTACTCCGACCATGCTCAGTCATTGGCCAGGACTGGCAATTATTATTTCTTGAGGGACTTGCAAGAATCAAAGCTTGTTAAACCTCCCAATAGCCTTGGCTAAAAATCTTTGCTTATTTTTAAATATTCTAACCTCTTCATTTTGCAGATTTAGGAAAAAAAAAAAAAAAAAAAAAAAATCACAAACAAGGCAAAGTGGCCAAATCTAAAATGTCTTTTTATGTAAATGACAAATTGTAGCTGCTACAGATAAACGAACAGTTGGATTTGGGGGGCGCAATATTTAGGAAAAGCAAAGGGACCTATATTAGATTGATTTGCAATCACTTACAAAATTCTCTACATATCTTCTGCCATTTGCCCAGGAATATCTGACACAAAGTGACCACATATGATTTACTAACAAATCTGAGTATTTCCAATATTTATTGGGCTATTTTTACCAAACTATTTACTTCCAGTGGAATTTTAAGGCGTCTAAGCTATAGATGGGAAAATATCATGTTTTATTATAATATTAGACCTCTGTGTTTTATCTCTAAAATAATTATGGCATCTTTCAATTAGGGGATTGCTGTCCCTTTTTTCTTGGCAAAAATGTGCAAAAAAGTACCAAAATATCTGAGAGCTTTCATTCTGTGGGTGAATGCAGAACTTTCATTAATATCCAAATGATCTGCATTTCCTAAGAAACAATTTTTCTCATCCCTCAGTATTTCACTGAAAAGGTTGTGACCAACAAACTTCCACTTAAAAAAAAAAACCCACGAGGAAATAAAAGAAAAAGAAATACTAGTTTTAAATTAAATTTTAAGAGTGGCAATTTGATATACTGAATTTTCTATTTACTCTAACTCTCTAAGTGACACCTATATTAATCTCTATGTGGCTACTACGTTTATAGCAATCAATACATACTTGTCTATTTACTCAGCAAATATTTCTAGAGCATTTATTATACATCAAGTTAAATAAGACACATCACTGGTCCTCAAAGAACTCACATTTCAATTACCTTCCTTTAAAAGAATTATTTTTATTGTGGTAAAATACACTTAACAGAAAATTTACCCTTTTACCATTTTTAAGTGTATAGTTCAGTGGCATTAAGTACATTCACACAATTATGCAACTATCACCACAATCCATCTCGAGATAGGTTTTTCATCATCTCATACTGAGATTTTTGTACCCATTAAATAATAATTCCCCAACTCCCCCACCCCCCCCACCCCCACTTTCCCTGCCCCAGGTAACCATTATTCTACATTTTGTCTCCAAGAGTCTGACTGTTCTAGGTACTTCATATAAGTACGTACAATAAGCTTTTGTGTCTGGCTTGTTTCACTTAGCATAATGTCTTCAAGCTTCATCCAAGTTGTAGAATGTATCAGAATTTCATTCCTGTTTATACTCAATTACTTTTTAAAATATCTAATCTTTCATTTAAAAGCGATTTCACAAGGCTTTCAGAATTACTTTTTTAAGGTAGTGTCTTTAGCATCATAGCAGCTGCCCAGATGTCAGTTCCCTGCTTTTGCTGCCACCACCCAAAGTACCAGGTGCTTCGTTATAAGGCTGTAGTCTTGGAAACAGTTCCCAATCTTTTCTTTTGTATCTCTCCTTGAGTCATCAGGACAGCTATACACACTTTCAGGTGTCTTTTTAAAAAGTAATAATTTCTAGTTTACATACAGTCAGAAATACAAGTTAGGCAATTACAGGTACATAACATACATTCAGTTTGGGGATCAGTTTTTACCGGCTTCTTTATCTAGGTAATGTCTCCAGTCCACCCTGACTATTCTGCCACAGTTTATTTTGCTCCAGGACCAGGTGCCTAGTTCTCTAAGATGTTTATATACCTTCTTAGTTCCTGAATCTAGCTCATTCTCTCATATGTTACTGTATCCCCTTCCTTCTTTCTTCTATGGCTTATTATTTTCCTCAGAGGGACATGTGGTTCAACTTTTAAAAAAAAAAACTATAGTAAGTGCCGGATTTTTATGCCGTAACGATCCACTTTCTGAGAAAACAAAATGTCCCTTCTTATCCACAATCAGCTACCTGCACCTTCACCCCCTTCATTTATATATAGGGCACAAACACATTTACCAAGAGGAGACTCCACATTCAAGTAATTTTGTGAGACATTCACTCCCTTATCAGATATTAGTAGGGGCCGCAGAGCACCCTGTATTCCTGGGTGTTCAGGAAATATTAGATACATATGTAGTTACTATATATTAATTTCAAAAGAACTTTGAAGGAGCAAGCATAGTGAATTTAACTAACATTGTTAATAGAAAGGTCACATTAGCTAACGAGAAACCTAAAGGATACCCTAAGAAATCTAACAGATCCCTGAGAACTGCTACTTGGAATTTCTCCTGTTTTATTAGTATCAAATATCTTATTGGCTAGGGACCACAAGATGAAATTCCTGATGAATTCATGAAGGCAGGGAATAAATGATGGGAAAAACATATCGGTACCCAAAAGGCATATTTCTACATTTCCTTCACCTTTTTCTGAAATGCCTTGGTCATTTATAATCCTAACCTAGGGCTAGGTATAAACTTTACTTGATAGATACAGGCCTGGAAAGGTTAAGGACTTGACCACTGGTATATTAACTGAAAATGAAACCTTAGCATTTTCCTTTCATTCATATACTGCCCATTAAATGACTTAACCGGTTATCTTCCTTGAACAAATAATTCATTTACAGTCTTTCAACGAAGATGTGAAGTTGCTCTTCTACCCTTAGGGAAGGGAAACAAGCTTTAAAAAAAAGGCGGCAACTTCAGCTAATTAATTCTTCATGAATAACAGAAAAGGCGGTGAACAATCTGAATTCCGAATCTAGAGCTCTGGGTCACTAGGTATAAAATCTGCCCTGGAGTAGAGGTGGGGGTGAGGGAATAAAAGGAAATGCTGGTAAAGTTACCTTGCGGAAACTTGACGACTTTCCGACAGGTTAAAACCCACCAACTTTCCTGAACAGCAATGGCAGGGGAGGGCTGAAGCGAATGGACTCGCTCGCACCGCCCACGTCCGGCCCTGGAGTACTGCACACAGCACCTCGCAGAAGACCGCACCAGAACCGGAAGACCGGGGAATCCCGCGAAAGGCACGGCGGCTGGAGAGCTTGGAGAAAATGGAGCCAACGTGCTCTGGCGGGGATTACGGGAGCCGGCGAGGGACCTATCGAGTCAGGACTCAGATCGCCCTTTCTCCACATAAAGTTTCCCAGTTGCCAATCTTGGGCCAGGTTCACACCTTCTCTAAAAGAACTCTCACGGTGTACTTTCAGTTCCCAGTGCCCGTAGCAACCACCTGCAATTGAAAGCGGAAGGACGACTCTTGTTCCGCCCACACTGGACCAACCGAAGCCGGGCGGGGAAGCACTTTGGACCAATCAACGTGGCTAGAACTACGACCAACCAATAGGAGGCAGGCACAGGGGGGCGGGCTGAAGGGGTCGTAGGCGCACGCGCAGTTGAGAGCAGGGTCTCAGTTCTGCGGCAGTGTGAGTGGATAGAGTGGCGGTGCACTCGTGTTGGCTCTCAAAATCCCCGCGTAGCCACTGTCGCCTTTTCCAGCCCTCGCCATGTTCCTCACCCGGTCTGAGTACGACAGGTGTGTGCAGCGGGGGTGGGAATGGGGTTGGGGTTATGGGTGGGCAGGCAGGCCAAGGGCCCAGTCCCGGCCTGGGTTCTGCCGTGTCATGGGGCTTCCCAGGTACCCGAGTCTGGTCCAGCTTGGGGATCTCTAGCGCTCCGAGCCGCCCAGTGTGATTCCCTAAGCTACACTTGCGCCGATCGGTCTCCCTTGTCCTACCGCTGAGTCACTACTGGGTCCTAACTCGGTGCGGAAGCGAGAAGCTTTGCTTTGTACTTGGGGAAGAAAGTTGAGGGGCCGAGACTCTGACCTTTAACCCGGAGAAGGCCAAGGGTTACCCCCTTTCCGGTTCATCTTTTCGTGCTGCCTGGAAGAAAAAGCACTAGAATGTATTTAATGAGTTTGATAATTTCAGCTCTTCCTTCCTTCTAGGAGAACAGTCTCGTTTTCCATTTCTTAGTAATGGGAATAGAGCAGCCTTTTCTTTGATTGAGATATAGTAGGGCATGTAGGATGTATAGTTTCTGCAAAATCGCGAAGACGGTCTCAGCTCTCCCCAGACACAGGGTCTGGAGTCTGATTTTATAGGAGCTGGCATTTAGAGTGGTTCGCAAAAGTTTTCTCTACGTGCTAATTCCACTACACCTACGCTTTTTTGACGTTTTAAAGAGTTTTAAACAAGTTAATTTAAGTGTATGTTGAAGGCCAGATGTTTTCGAAATCAAAGTTGTGAGATTGTTGTATTTACTTTAAAAAAAACCTTTCAGGTCTTGGAAATGTTAAGTAATATTAAATTATACATTTTTATACTGTAGACATTTTTACTTTCAGTTTCCGTTTTAATCAATTAAGTTTTCACATAGCTATTAATTTTTTTTTTCTTTTAAGCCAGGAAAGCAGATGTTTTCTTTGTACTAGGTGGCTTGAGAAGCTGATTTCTTGTCAAGTATATTTTGACACTGTCAAAAGTTTTTATCATCTGGAACTACCTCTTTTTTATCCTTTTGCATACATAGAAGATGTATGTGAAGTTTTAAAACTGACATTTTTTCCTACTGTCCTATGAAATAACTGTTACTCAATATTTACCTTCCAGAGCATTGAAGAGAATCATCTTTGAGTGATGATAAACTTTTTAGTTAGGGTGTGTATGATGGAAGTTGTTACCCTTATCAGAAAGCCTTTATTAAGGTTTTGTGGTAATTTACTTAACATCTATCTTTATTGCCACTTTGTGCTGTTCATTTTTGTATCTTCCCAAGAATGCCTAAAATACCACTATTTTTTATTCAAAAACTAGCTAATGTACTTGAATGCTATGTTCAAGGCACCATTCTAGTTGCTAGTCATACAGCAGTGAACAAAATCAAGATCCTTGCTTTCACGGGAGACTGTCTTTTAAAGAACTATTCACAAAAGTAACTACAGTATGAATCAGAAATGTATTCATGTCAGAGAAATTCAAATCAACAGTATGGTGATTTTTATGAGAGAGATTACATTCAATATTAGGAGGTCATGGAAAACTCACGAAGGAGCTGATATTTAAACTGAATCCTGAGAAAGCAAGATTTGACTAAATGTGGATAGTGAGAGTCAACACTTTCGAGACAGAGAATATAGAATGAACAGAGGGGCAGTGGGAAAGTCCATGTTTCCTAAACAGTGCATGTTTGGGAAATTCTAGTCTGTTTGGCACATATAGTACATGTATGAGAATAGTGAGAGATATGGGAAAAAACAGCATGGTGCTAGATATTGAACGGTTTTTAATGTTAGGTTAAGAAGTTTGGGTCTTACTCTGTAGGTAAATCTGTGCCATTAAGTCGTTTAAAGAAGTTATATGATCATAATTGTGTTTTATAGATATTAATTGACTGGATTAAGGGAAAGAATGAGTAAATACCAGAAGGATATTACAATGATTAGGTGAAAGGTAACGAGAGCATAGAGAATGGAAGGTAGGGAGTGTCGAGTTACTGTGGAGGAGGAATTGATATGACTTGGCATATGGTTGATATGGGAAAGATAGGAATGAGTCCGATCATTTTAAATTTTCTAGCTTGGAGAACTGGGAGATTGGAGGTGTTTTAAAATAAAAATGAAGTAGGAATAGCAGGAGATGGAGCTGATTTTGTAAAGATGGCTGAATTTAAAGATATTTCAAACTAGAAAATGTTGGGTGTTCAGCGCTAATGGGATATTCAAGTGGAAATGCTCAGGAGGCGTTTAGATTAATAGGGGAAGAGGTCAGACCGGTAATAGAGGTTTGGAAGTCGGAGTTGGTACTTGGCATAAATGAAATAACCCATGGAAACCGTAAAGTTTGAGAAGAGGGTCAAGAATAGAGCCCCATATTATGGAGGATGGAGTAATACCTCACTAGGATGAAGTTCTTGAATTAGGGTAAAAATGCTACATTCACATGGTACATTACACTTTACAAAGTTCTTTCATACTCCATGCAATTTAGTAGTAATTGACTTGTGACAGAGGCAGGATAGGGTTTTTTGGTTTTCTGGTTTTCCATTTGAGGGAATTAAAGCTAGTAAGTAGCAGAACTAGAACTTAATCCCAGCTCTTCTGTCCTCAGACTTTTCTCTCAGTGATTTTAAAAATGTGTTCCTTACAGTCCTAAACTTTTTAAATGATTTTAGGGATATTAACTCTGGGGTAAAAGGGAGGCTGGGATGGTGGGATTCTCCTGCCCCAGATTTAGCCAGAATAGTTCCCAGAGGCAGTTTAGTGGAATAGTTGAAAACTTGGTCACTGTAGTCAGTTTGCCTAAATTCTAATTCCAGCTCTGCTTCTTATATGCTGAGCGACTTTGGGCAACTTACTTAACCTTTGTGCCTCAACTTTCTCATCTGTAAAGTAGTATCTATGTTAGACTACTACTTCATAGAATTGTTTTGAAGATTAAGTGAGTCAAATCATTTAAAAGTTTATAACAGTGCCAGGCGTATAGTAGATATGTAGTAAATGTCGACTTGTATTATCTGTTTTATATTTTGGGGATCTATATAAATTTTTTTTTGAAAAAAGTTTTTGATAAATTTGAAAACTAATTTCTATACTACATCATGTTACATGTTTAAAAATCTCAGACTCTGTAAACCAAGGATCATTACTATTTTCATTCATTTGCTCATATTTTTAAAGTGCCCAATGTGTGCTGAAAGGTTTTATAGCTAAGACCATAATTGATGCCTCTTCTCCATAGAGATTTCCAGCAAACTGGAGCAAGGAAAGGTGGGGGAGTGTTTTAGAGACAAAAGCAGTCAGTCATGGAATTGGTAGAAATATATATTCAGTGAATGAACTGGGTTAGGCTTTAGGAACCCACAGATCTCTGTCTGTCGTTAATACTAATTCATACAAATAATTAGAGAAATGTACCTGTGACTGACATTTACTAAAAAGTAACATATTAACATCAAATGCACATAATGAGAAGAGGATAAGAATAAATGCCCATTTTCTTGGGAATTGCCTAATAGTTTTGGGGCATGAATTTATCGAAGGAATTCCAGATTGATTCAGGATTAAGGCAGAAAGTCACCTGCTCTCATTTGATCAGTTTGAAGACTCTCTCTCTGAGTGGGGTAGAAGTGTTCTGTATATTGAAAAGCTGTTGATGTGCAAGAAAATAACTACAGATTGTTGTGGGCAAAGGAGAATAATGACAACATGCACATCTTGTAGCCATCTGAGCTAGATGTCAAGAAACCTAGTTTACTGTCTCTGTGCTTATTTTTTCTGACAGTTTTTAACACCATTTTTTTTTTAATTATAGGGGTGTGAATACTTTTTCTCCTGAAGGAAGATTATTTCAAGTGGAATATGCCATCGAGGCTATCAAGGTACAGTGTCAAGTGGCATAATTTTTTAATTTCACGGCAACCTAATGCTTTGCTGGAAGACCATTTAGAGTAAATCTGTTTTAGCTATTCCTTTAGAAAATGTTCTTTATCTCTTTTTAGCCAACCACTATTAACCATTTTAGTAACAATTTCAATCCTATTCCTAAGATCTATTTTAAAACTTTTTGAACATATAACTGTTTCATAATTATGTAAGGAGCTTTTTCTCAGTTGATTGTAGGGACATGTTTGTGTTTATAATCTTGGCTATAAAGAAAGTATGTAGAAGCCCAGAGTTAGCACCTGAGAGATTTTTAACACATCATTTAACTTATCACCTGTATTCTTGTTGGTAAAATTGTAAATTTGTACTAGACACTTTTGGGACTGATAAGAGATATGCTCTGTAATCTAGTAACAAAATTGAATAGTTCAAACCAGTATTCAAAAATTGGTTAGAAAGTAAGCTAAAGTTAGTTATTATGTAGAATCTATATTTGTTGTTAGGTTATGATAATCTAGATTCCAGGCATCAGTATTTTTAAGGACTCCCTAGTGATTCTACTATCTAGCAAGGGTTGAGAATCATTGATCTAGTCCAGCTCTTCACTCTGTGTTTCAGATAACTCATTCTCTTTGAAAACAGTTCATAATGGTTTAGAAATTTATCCTTGTATTGAATCAGAAGTCTGGCTTCCTGAATTTCCTTCAGTTGGTCCTAGTTTTATCCTTGAACCACACAGGATGTTAAACCTCTTCCATAAGACAGTTTCACACATAATTGAGAAGAGCTACTGTGTTTCTTTCTAAGCTACCTCTTCTAGAAGTGTATTGGTGGAAATGGTTGTATAAGAATCTGGAAAAGGGGAAAAGAGATTCTAGTAGTTGAAGACATACA